TCAAGTAGAGAGGAGATTATATATTTACAGATACCTGTTTGAAAACTTATTAACATTTTTCTTTCCTCTTCTCTACATACACTGTTCTCTACTTTAGTACCGCTCTTTTTCTATTCACTTCTTTATTGCATGTTGCTGTACAGTGTGATAATTTGAAGCGATGCACTTCTGTGGTAGCTTGCATATCAACTTTCCTATCTATCCTATCTATGCTATCTATCCTATCTATCCTATCTATGCTATCTATGCTATCTATCCTATCTATCCTATCTATCCTATCTATCCTATCTATCCTATCTATCCTATCTATCCTATCTATCCTATCTATCCTATCTATCCTATCTATCCTATCTATCCTATCTATCCTATCTATCCTATCTATCCTATCTATCCTATCTATCCTATCTATCCTATCTATCCTATCTATCCTATCTATCCTATCTATCCTATCTATCCTATCTATCCTATCTATCCTATCTATCCTATCTATCCTATCTATCCTATCTATCCTATCTATCCTATCTATCCTATCTATCCTATCTATCCTATCTATCCTATCTATCCTATCTATCCTATCTATCCTATCTATCCTATCTATCCTATCTATCTATCTATCTATCTATCTATCTATCTATCTATCTATCTATCTATCTATCTATCTATCTATCTATCTATCTATCTATCTATCTATCTATCTATCTATCTATCTATCTATCTATCTATCTATCCATCTATCTAAGTGTTGTTACAGGCATAATTCCTTGTTCATAGTCCATAAAACTTCCTGAGTTTTTTTCCATTTGTTTTTCTCCTTTGATTTTGTTGGAAGTAAGGTTTCCTAAGTATCTAGGATCAGTGTGTAATCATTCTTATTGCACGTGTTAGGCATTAATTTGGCAAGGAAAGATTAAGTGATCAACCCTCATTTCTATCCAGGAGCAAAATTCTTTAGGATAGTCACTCTGTTTTATTCTTTTTTGTGAATATGTGCTACTGTATGTATAGTAATGGCTTAATCATTCACGAGATCACTTTCATTGACGTGCTTTCTATCATTTTACGCTCATCGAGAAATTTTCGTGTTTGTATCTTATAAAAAGTGTCGGAATGACAAAACAAAACCAATGTTGAGGAGCGTTTCTGAAATATCTGTGCCTTATAACAACTCAAATTTTAGAGGTTCACTGGAATGATTAAAGCGTTTTGTGCATTTCAATACTCAAATCCAGATATCGAATACACAATGTTCAACATCACCTGGAGTTTTCAATTACCTCCGAGGCGATTATGTCACAGACACTGAATCGTAACCCAATATTCCGTCAATCTAATAAATAGATAAATACATATCTTTATTCTCAAGTTATGAAGTTAACATGAGAGAAGCTAGTTTACAGGCCTGCGATGAAGTGTAGGTGATGACTAGGCATTCGTAACTCATGTTTTCATCAACACAGTCAAAGGATATCCACACGTGGTAGTACAACAACATGAACGTAGTTTGATGTAGGTAACAGTAATCGAGTATCTATAGCCTCTTGACATCCGTTAACTCTTCAATGACTACAGTTACATAGTAAGACAAAACGAAACGTTATACTATACACAGGTTGGTTGAGTAGCTCATCAGTGTGTCGCAAGTTAACAAAAGCGAAAGGAGCCGTTTGTATCTTTGATACAGTCTCATCAGTTGCTAACTCATCAGAAATGAACTCATTTCACAACAAAGTGAAATAGTAGAAACATCGAACCTTATTACATTGCCGCTTATTGTTCAGATGAAATTATATCACAAGAACAATTCTAAAAGATTAATTTCCACTTATTAAGCTGAAAAATGCATCCCAAACATTTTATAACTGTAATAAAGCAGAATAGTAGAAAAAGGATAATTTTCCTCGCTGTTGCATTGTTACCTTTTCACTGCCTAATCTTATGTTTCCGCCTCTTCTGTTATCAACCTCTACATTACATCATCATAAATAAATTGAAATGAAGTCAGCAATCTTTTACACATTTGTGCAGTAAACAAGCCACTCCTTGAATAGAAGCCTATATACTATGGTAGTTCTGAGCAAGGTTAGAACTGCTCTTTAGTCACACACACACACACCTCCACCATTATAGCAGTGTACAAATCAACCTCCAATCAGGACGTTTAACCATCTCATTCATTGCCATGACTACTATCAATGTGTCTACAAAAGAATATTTATGCATTTTTTTTATTATATAACTTCATAAAAATCGAAATCAGAAAGTAGATTTTCAAAGAGAAGAGCAAAAAAAGAGAAAAAAAAGTGATAGACAAACGATAGAAACCATATTATAATTACTCTTACCAAAACTACTACTACTACTACTCCTGCCACGTAAACAATAGTTTACTGCCATTGTCTTTTCAACAATAAGACAATAGTTCAAAGAAAGAAGTAAGCGAATCCATTATATATGTAGCGATAATTACCAAGTATATGAGAATCATTATGTATGTATGATTTCTCTCTATTGAGGTCATTTATTTTTGTAGCCACTTAGGTACATGTTCAACCTTCCTGAACTGCATATCACGATTACTCCTCCCTACATATGTGTGTCCACACATACATGTAAATTCATAAACACACTGGGATGTGATGCAATCGTTTATATGTTGTTTCGGTTTGTGCTGTAACATGCACTTGGTCTTCTCTACAATAATGACCCTAGCTGCATAATACGTTTTACAGATGGTGGATCTAAGTCTCTTCCTCACAACAAAGCTATGTGAATCATCTCTAAATGGTAATGAGATGTGGACATTTTTCTTAGCAACGGAACACTGTGTACTTCTCAATGGTACATAACTTTTGCACCGGTCCATAAATCTCAGCGGGTATCCATTCTGTGTCAGAGTTGTCGTCAGTAAGTTGGTTTCTTCCTCCCTGGTATTATCGGTGCAGATACGGTTTATCCTGTTGAATAAGCATCTGACTAAACCACGTTTATATTGGACTGGGCAATAGCTATGGAGATTAAGATATTGCCCTGTCCATGTAGGTTTCTTATAGATCGACCTCCTGATCGAGCCATCCTCCCATCAACTGAGCAATACGTCTAGGAATGGTAGCTGGTTGTTCGTCTCTTGTTCACAAGTCAGGCTAATGTGATTTTGAGCCGTGTTCATTTTCTGTAGCACGCACATTGTATCATCAGGCTTTTCACATACAATGACTATATCATCGACATATCTCTTATAAATTGAAACCCTTCCGATGAGATCGTCAGCCATGTTTTCAACATATGACATGTATACATCAGCTAGCAACGGTCCTAATGAACTACCCATCGCAGCGCCATTACAACAGTGTACAAATCAACCTCCAATCAGGACGTTTAACCATCTCATTCATTGCCATGACTACTATCAATGTGTCTACAAAAGAATATTTATGCATTTTTTTTTATTATATAACTTCATAAAAATCGAAATCAGAAAGTAGATTTTCAAAGAGAAGAGCAAAAAAAGAGAAAAAAAAGTGATAGACAAACGATAGAAACCATATTATAATTACTCTTACCAAAACTACTACTACTACTACTCCTGCCACGTAAACAATAGTTTACTGCCATTATCTTTTCAACAATAAGACAATAGTTCAAAGAAAGAAGTAAGCCAATCCATTATATGTGTAGCGATAATTACCAAATATACGAGAATCATTATGTATGTATGATTTCTCTCCTTCGATCCAAGAAATGTATTATGATATTTAGCATTTTGTTACTTGATAAATGAAGCAATATTTCATACATTGAATCCTTCTCTTATAAACTTGAATAACAAAACAATGAGAAGATTGTTTGAAGTAAGTTTTAATGATGATGATGATCGCGGTTTCATCATTACCAATTCAGGCTAAACACCAAAATGAAATTAGTCATATAGGAATAAGGAATCAAGACAAGTACACTATACTGTATAATGAAGTAATTCATATCTAAAATAGAATATGAAAGGGGTAATGAGATGAGACAACGTGTAAGTACGTACGTACACACACACACACACACACACAGGTGTACAAAAGACAAACAAATTATCAAATCAATTAGCTTGTCATGAGAAAACATGAAATAAACATCTGAGTGTAATGGTTAGATGGTTCGAATCCGGGTAAACAGTAACGAAGAGATAAAATTAAAAAAAAAAGACAGTTAGTAGACGTTAGTCAGACAAGAAAGACAATATTGCATAGATTTTAAAAACAAAGGAGTAATTGTTTTTCTTTCTTCCTTTTTGTGAAATACAAGAGCTTTGAAGTGATAACAGTATGAACATCCTGATACATGATAATAATAATAATAATAATTACTGTATAGAAATATGATATTTGGTATGAGCAGTTCAACAGATCCCTTATCTTGTTCCAGTTGAATATAGCAACAAGCTGTCTGTACGCAGGGAATAACTCCAATACGTGTATGTGTGTGTGTGTGTGTGTGTACTCACATTCACCCCATACCTGGTATATACTTGCAAATAAATCACTGAGAGAAAAACCAAGCATGAATGTTAATCACTTTAACATGATATTGGTTCGAGTTCGCTTGAAAGTCAACATTACAACATCTGAATTGTGTGTGTGTGTATCTTTAGCCAAACTTTCTTGCCTATTATAATAGTATTAGTATTATTATTATGAATAGTGCCACTATTATCATACACGTATTTATTATTTTGTATACAAGAAGATATGAGGTGTAAAACAGAACACTTGATCAATGAAACAATATAATACCTTGACAACTCCTTCGTAGATTACCGTATAGTATTCAATCAGACTGAATCATTTATCCAATTGATTAGTTAATTACATTCAAAATAGACAAGTGAATTATGTAATAGTAATTATGTAATCATTGTATATAACTATGTGTATACAGGTATGTAGGCACAATGCAAGGTGTTAGTTCCCATCCCCCCCCCCTCTCTCTCTTTTACATCATTTCACATATGATTATGTTTGATTTCTAGCCTGATCTCTAGCGACTAAAATAAGCGGTGTTAACGAAGATAATGGTTTAGCACGTCGAACAATAAATGGATGCTATTAAAACAAAGAAAAATAATAAGAAGAAAAGTATTAACCAGATATATGAATACAAATAATTGATTCGTATAAGTTCGAGTCCTAAACAATTCATTACTTTGTTTGTAATAATAAATACAATGAATTAATTGTTTAACACTATGATATCATTATAAATTGTCTATGTACTTCACTGCCTAAAGATTTTTTGAAATATAGGGAAGCGACGTAATTCACCTTTGTACAAGGTTCTACATTGATTCTATGTATCTGTCTGTTAATCAACTCGGTGTCATAAGGTACCTGTACCAACTGTAGGTAGTTCGAATCCAACAATCAAGAAATTAACAACGCTGCATTTATCAATTCCACTATATACTGATAGTATTTGTTAGTCACACTTAAGGCATACGGTTAAAGAATATATATATATATATATATATATATATATATATATATGGAAGCTACAATAAGTCGAATCATTGAAACAAAAAATCATATCATATCACAATATATAAGAGAGTATATAATACCTTGAGTAATTCATATGCAGATGCACGTAAATCCACATTCACTTCAAGGCATCGATCTAAGAAATCTGAAAAATCTGAGCTTAATTTATCCCGTTCCTTAATCTCTGGTTTACCATTTGTACCAATCAAATAAAGAGCCTAGAAAAGTAAAAAAAGAGATATATATAAATCTGTGTCAATATATCAATCGATAAGTGTTAAATCATCATCATTATCAACATAGGATCAGGCATTACTGCATAACGGTCCGAGTTACCACACACCTCATATCAATACATCAAGTAAAAAGGTAGTGAGGTGAAGGATGAAGATAAGTGAATGCAGTCAAAAGAAATATAAAGTACGAGAAGAAAGGAAAGAGGAGTGACAAAATGGTGAGACTCGGTATAGCGTTGTTAAGACGAGGATAATGTGTGTATACATCTGTGCCACTGACTTCCGTTCTGAGCCATATCACCTAGAATCAGTCTCCAACCACTGGTTCCTCTTGTCCCACCGACCCCAACCACCTAGTCTGCATCTCCCCACATGGCTTAAACCAACAGTCAGAGACTTCATACATTGGTGCCATGTTTTAGTCTGGCCACCTCGGGCCTTTTTCCAGTCTGGACCCACCTCAGCCAACATTGTGTGATGAGGCAATCGGTGACTAGGCATACGTAGTACGTGTCCCAACCATCTCAATCTATGAAGGTTCATAACCTCGTCAACTGACTTACCTCTTCTCCCCAAAACTCTACACCTAACTTCTGCATTACTCACGTGGTGTGGTGATACCATGGAATACGGTGGCCTATACTACGAAGGCAACGGTGGTCAAACACCTGAAGCCTTCTTATATCTTCCACTTTCAATGGCCATGTTTCACAGCCATACAGTAGAACAGACCGGACTGCTGTGCAGTACACGTGACCCTTAATAGACAAATGGATATCACGTCGGCACCATAGGTGGCGTAAATTGGCAAAAGCCAATCGAGCCTTTTGTATCCGTGCACAGATTTCATCGGCAACTGACCAACGCACTAGGGTTGATCCTACTTCCCAGGTAAGTGAAGTGGTCAACACACTCAACCACTACACTCACTCTCTATTGTTAACCGCGGTACCGCTGAAGACCAGTTCTGCAGCAAAAATTATAAGTGTTAAATATATCATGATGACTTCATGTCTGATTGGTTTGATACAACTACTCCCAATTTAATGATAAGGAGTAAAATGATGTGGAATCTGTCAACTGCTTCACTTACTTGAAGAGTTATCTAAACCCACGAGTAAACTGTGCTACAGTTTGCTTTGTTATATTATACACTAGCGTTGAAAGTAGATGAGAAGAGATTACAGGTTTCTCAATACAAATATCTATACACATATGCTATCGCCAATGATAATTCACCACCTACCACGACATGAAATGTTGACTGAAATAGGATTGGGTAAAAAGAAGGCAGCAACCCGTGAAACCGTTTGACTATTGGTCTGAGTCATGTATGGAGGTGTAAACTGTCTGACTGAAGTCGTTGACAGGATAAAAATTACCAGTTACATAGATTTGATGTTCATATGTTCACCTTGTAATTCAATCGCCTGTATTCCAATTTTGAATTTAGCCAACAGTGTGGTTTATACATAAACACGGTGAAGTCTCAGAAATAACAAAAAGCTATTTTTAACGGCTTGACGGTAATTAACGACAAGATCTGTTGATTGATCAATATAATCTAGTCATAAGTGCTGATCGAATTCTATCGATGATTTCCGATTTGTGATCCACCAAGCTCCGAGACCCATGATCGAGATGAACTACGATAGAATATTGGTTAGATGCATGGGATTGGCATAAAGTCGTATCTACATGCTTAAACAAGACTTCCTGCGAACAGCTTCCATCCACATAACAATAACCATTTCAGTTATTGGTTACCGACACACATCAAAAAGCTTTAGATATATAAAACTGTAAGAAAGTATACCTCTTCAGAAATTTCAATCGGTATATCATTTGTGGCATCATTCAACCTATCATTAACAAACCATATTACCTTTTTAAACAAATGGAACACTCACCATCAACCGATAACGCAATACGCAGTTAGAATAAGACAAGTTGCATTTTTGCCTTTTTACACTCCTTCGCCCTCCCCTATCACTCCTCAAGGTTGTAAATGTAACATGTAACAGGTGAGTAATTTCCTTTTCATAGATTAATATTATTTGTCCCTTGGGTTCTTAATAAAACATACACCTTCACCAGCACGTCTCCATTCCACTCTCTTCTCTGAAATCTTTTCAAACTGGCTCAACCACAGCCCACAACCTCCGATTTCCTCCTCACACCATCTCCTCCAAGTCACCCTCACCTCAGATGCCCAACTCGTCGCTTCCCATCTGCCTTCCACTCGAACAACTCGCCTGACGCCTGATGTCCCAAATCAGTCTTCTCAATGTATGCACAATCCATCTACACTTCCTTCCACTGCATGTTTCTTCAGCGATGGGTTCTTGGTTAGTTCGTTTCCAGAATTCCTTGTTACTTATTATTTCTCCCCTTCTCATCTCATCTTCAGTAACGAGTCAGCGAAGGGGCAGTTGTTGGTCAATGTCTGTAGTTTGTTGGAAATGCCTTTCCTAACACCACAAGTCTCTCAACCATCACACAGAAGCACTGACTTGACTAGGTTGGTGTTGACAAATCCACATCTTGTTCCACATGCTGAGTTGGGTGGAGATCTCCACACTGGTTTCAGGCTAATGAACACCTATCTTGCTGTCTTTCCGATCCCGGATGACTTCGACATCTTCGTCTGTTCCTCTCCCACCTGTAGTTGAAACAGTGCTTCCTAGATGGGTGTAGGTGAAGGAGGCTACTTCCTTTAAGTTTCTCCCGTTGAAGGTAATGGTGATTGGAGTTTGTTGTTGTTGTTGTTGGTGGTGGTGTTGTTAGTTGGGTATCTTCATCACCTCTGTCTTCTCTATATTCACTTAAAGTCCAGTCTTCGCTGCCTCTTCTGACAACTTGTCACTTTTCGCCTGTACATCTTCAAGTTTGTGTGACATCAGACACAAGTCATCGTTGGCGAAATCCAAGTCTCCCAGGTTCTTTTCCCCAGTACACCCAGCGTATCCCCCACCCTCCACCCATCTTCTCACAGATCCTCACTGTTTCTTGTATGATCCAATCGAGTCGACCACAACACAATCACGAATATCATGAGTGATAGTAGGTGGCAGCCTTGTCTAGTCTTACTCCTGTCTTCACTTCAAAAACATCACAGCTTTCCATTGTGAATTACTTGGCATGTGGCGGTATTCCGTAGTGTTGAAGCAGTTTCCAAATTACATCTCAGTTGACGCTGTCCAACGCCTTCTCAAAGTCGACGAAGTTGAGGTAGAGGTACAGTTGACTGCCATTCTATACTCTGTTCTATGATGATGCGAAGCGTTACAATTTGGTCCACGCATGATTTGTACTTCCTGAAGCCAGCCAGCCTGTTCCGGTCGTAGTTTCGAATCTAGCGCATCCTTTAACCTCTCCAGTTCTTGCAAACACTGAGGTCTCCCTTCTTCGGGAGTTTGACAAGGTAACCCTTCTTCCAATCGCCAGGTACCTACCTTTACTTCCTTTCAGACCTTCTGCATACACTAATAGAATTCTTACAGCTAGGTAACGGAAAGTAAATGAAATATAATTATGTGCACTAGAGCAATGTGACACACATACACACACCTATTGTATGAAATAGTATGATAGTAATTGCTTATCTAAACCATAGTTTGAAGCCATGTCACACACTAGTTCAAAGTTGACAGTTTAAACTAGTGAGTGAATCTCTTTGTAACTTGTACAGCACTAAAAATTATTGCTTCCAATGACCGTGTGATAATAGGGAAAAACTGTGGATTTTAAATGAGAACCACACAACAACAAAAGGAGGTTAATTGAAATGAAGTAAAAGTCTAGTCAGTAGTCGAATTTTTCATAACTTAGTCAGTAGACCATTTAGCACAGCTGCTTGAAATCTCACTGGAAGTCAAATTATTCATATCACTTTCAACCATCATCTTTTTCAGTTATAAAGTAAGTTAAATTTCATTGAAAACAATATTATATTGTTTGTTTAGAAGTTTTTCAGCCTTCCTGATAGATAATATACACAATCGATTAACACGAAGCGAAGATATAAAAAAAAAAAGTGTTGTGTTATATGAAAACTTACTCGAACAGGATTTTCATTTAAATACGGTGGTTCTCCATCAATCATTTCAATAGCCATAATACCAAGTGACCAAATATCAACTTTTGGTCCATATTGTTTACGTGTTACAACCTCTGGTGCCATCCAATAGGGTGTACCTACCATTGTAGATCGTTTAGTCTGTTCTGAGCTAAGCTGAGCACAGAAACCGAAATCTGTCAATTTTACAGAACCATCTAAGCCTAATAATATATTGTCTGATTTAATATCACGATGAATCACATGATTTTTGTGTAGAAACTCCAATGCTTGTAAACACTAAATAGGAGATAAATGTGAAGAGACAAATAAACATACACACAAACACACACACACAAAGCGATAAAAATTATTCATCGACAAAACAATAAGAAGACGTAAATTTCAAGTTGTTATTCATCGAAGACTGACATCAGTTGGAGGAACAAAGGAAACCTGGGAGCACTGGACAGCTGTTTCGTCCTAGTATGGGACTCCTCAGCAGTGCGCACCCAGGTTTCCTTTGTTCCTCCAACTGATGTCAGTCTTCGATGAATAACAACTTGAAATATTTCCAAATCTCCACAACCCCCTCAAAAATTTAAGACGTAAATTGTCTGAACCGTGTAATGTGCATTTACGCAACACATTTCGAACTATCTGATCATACACGTACTTGTCATAGGTATTTATATAAAAACTCATGAAGATAAGGGGTGAGAAAATAAAAAGGGGTCAGGTAGGAAGGCTGACTTAAAGGCCGATTAACAATGAAAATCAATAGAGCGAAAAAATAATAGTACATCGAACTTGGTTTTTTCAATAGTTGAATTTACCAAGGAAGGTTTAATGTAGCCAGGGTTCGAGTAATCGAAACCACGAAGCCCTTATATTCCCCCAAACCCCCACAGCATGTGAACGATAATGTCACATCCCATTGTATCTACCAATTCAAATGTACGTGTGGTGACATATACATAAAGAGGACTAATAGATCCATGCAAGTAAGGGCCTCGGAACATATTCCAAAGTGGCTTCAGAAGCAAATTAAATCACCTGAACCTATAAATGTTGGTAGCAGACGTCCAAGTTCTTCGATCGCTAAACATATCGTTGAGACAGGTCACAAGATTGATGTGGCTTCTTCCTTTACACCTATTTACAAAACATGTTGGGGAGGGATCCTGAAATTTGTTGAAGCCTTAGCTATTAGGAAGTTTAAACCACCTTTATGTATTCATAAACAATTTGTTGTCACATTAAACCTTCCTTGGTAAATTCAACTATTGAAAAACCAAGTTCGATGTACTATTATTTTTTCGCCCTATTGATTTTCATTGTTAATCGGCCTTTAAGTCAGCCTTCCTACCTGACCCCTTTTTATTTTCTCACCCCTTATCTTCATGAGTTTTTATATAAATACCTATGACAAGTACGTGTATGATCAGATAGTTCGAAATGTGTTGCGCAAATGCACATTACACGGTTCAGACAATTTACGTCTTCTTATTGTTTTGTCGAAAAATTATTCAACAATAACAATAACAAGTCTTAAGCGTTGACAAAAGTTTACCGTTCAACTTTGAGATATCATTACAAGAATAATCTGCATAAAAATATCAACACATTGTATACAACATTGCATAGATTCGCCTAGGCCGCTTTAAACTGTCTATAGAATGAAATCAGTTGCGATTGATCCAAGCTACCAGATGTTTATGTCCAGTATCAAGAAAATGTTGAGCAATTTAACTGTCAACCCTTGAGACTACAATTCTTCAAGATATGTTCAGAGAAGTGAAGAAGAATTCATCTCTCAAGCATTTCAGTGTATTGCCTTTGATATATACTCATATATTGGTAGATACGACTGGAAGCAACAAGATCTGGTAACTTGTTAAAATTCTTAATCATAACAGCACAAATCCTGATTGTAACTCAGTGAATAAGTTGACCGCCAACTCCGATCTAAGTAATCGGGCAATTACATAAACATTTGGACAAGGTTGAATGATATTAGAGTACTATGACGGTCGGGGATTCATGCACAAGTTAGTCTAGCTCAAATAAGCATAATTCACAACCAGTTCAGTTACACGTCTGTTGTCAAGAAAGGTGTCTTCATCAAGCTTCAATAGATGGAGAACTCTCATAGTAATAATCCTTGAGCGAAAACTTAATGCTCTAATCAGTAGGACATAACCTATGCATGCAGTTAACGTTGGGTCAATATACCCAACCAACAACAACAACAAGCTACAATCACCATCAATAGGAGAACCTAAAAGGAAGTAGCCTCTTTCATCCATTCGGCGGCACAGACGAGGATGTCAAAGTCAGTCAGGATCGGAAACGCTGCAAGACAGGTGTTCATTAGCCTGAAACCAGTGTGGAGATCTTCTGCACTCAGCACTCAACATGTCGAACAACATCCGGATTTTCAACACCAACCTAGTCAAGTCAGTGCTTCTGTGTGATGGTTGAGAGACTTGTCGCGTCACGAAAGGGATTTCCAACAAACTACAGACATTCATCAACAACTGCCACCTACGCTGACTCGTTACTGAAGATCAGATGAGATGGCGAGAAATAATAAGCAACAAGGAACTCTGGAAACGAACTAACCAAGAAGCCATCGCTGAAGAAACATGCAGTGGAAGGAAGTGTAGATGGATTGGGTATACACTGAGAAGGCTGATTGGGAACACCACACGTCAGGCGAGTTGTTCGAGTGGAAGGCAGATGGGAAGCGACGAGTTGGGCATCTGAGGTGAGGGTGACATGGAGGAGATGGTGCGAGGAGGAAATCGGAGGTTGTGGGCTGTGGTGGAGCCAGGTTGAAAAGATTTGAGAGAAGAGAGTGGAATGGCGACGTGCTAGTGATGCTGTATGTTCCATTAGGAACCCAAGGAACAAATATTAATTATATACAGATTTATATATATATAATCAATTCTGGGTACTCTTCTAATTCCTTACAGTATTGGTAAAAGATATTCATACTCTTCGACTGCATAACATCATGTTACAGTATTCATATTTCGGCATAGTTTAGACCTACTGATATAAAATTTATCAGTAATATGGCCTCAAACTTATCATCTTTATGTGTTCGAAAATAGTTTATCATGAAAGTAAAGCATCCTTGGCGAATGAAACCTTGATACACCTTTTTATTGATTTTCAGTGTTGTAGTCTACTTATTATTATTATTATTATTATTATTATTAGTCCCTTGGGTTCCTAGTGGAACATACGGCTTCAGTAGCACGTCTCCAGTGACCTCTGTTCTCTGAGATCTTTTGAACCTGGTTCCACGACAGCCCACAAGCTCTCATTTCCTCCTCGCACGACCTCCTCCATGTCACCCTCGCCAAGGACGCCCAACTCGTCGCTTCCCCTGGGGATTTCACTCGAGGGCCTGACGCGTGATGTTTCCAGTCGACCTTCTCAGTGCATGCCCAATCCATCTCCACTTCCTCCTGCATATTTGTTGCGTGATAGGTTCTTGGTTGGTTCGTTCCCAGAGCACCTTATTGCTTATTCTTTCTGGCAATCCATCTGATCTTCAGTAGCGAGCCGTAGTCTACTTAATCCCTAGCAATGGAATCTAACTTGATGGTGGGACTCACTCGTCACCTGGATGTACCTGCACCACTCCAATGAGATGCAAAAACAATCACTGGGGTCACTGGAGCCACCAGTTGTATAGTTCTTCACGTTTAATTTAGCACACTCACTGGCAAAATCATTTTATAAAATACTAATATCGATTAATTCCTGTTCAATGGTTTAATCACAAAGATTTCAGCTCAGCGAAATGAGGGCGGGGGGGGGGGGTATAGAGTGATATATAAATTAGGAGACAAGACAATTAAATGCTCACCTCTCTGCAAACAGCTGCAATTTGTCCTTCATCCATTAATGTTTCAGTGACAACTTCAGTCAGTGAACCACCATCTAAATACTCCATAACTACCCATAATTCATCGCCAACCAAATAACTATCTAAATAGTTTACAACATTTGGATGTTTTTTCACCTTCATTACATAAATCTCATTTACAATTAATTCTTTTTTAGGTTGTTTCTTTAAATTCATCTGTTTAATTGCAACACGACAACCAGTCGCTGATTCTATCCCACTGTATACTACACCAGATGCTCTAGTTAAAAAAAGTAAACAATAATCATCATAGAGAAAATGATTATACATAAATGTATACTACTTAAATAATATTATCAGTAGATAAACACTAAAAGTGAAAAATATTCTGAGGTAAGAATTGCTGAGAATTAAATTGCATTAAACAGTTATATCGTTTTATTGTATTATCTAAGTTCATTCATCGAGTAACAATTCATATAACACAAAAGTTAAATCAAGTAAACTCGAACAGAATGTTTGAAACATCAAATTATAGCCTGTGAATAAATATTGATTAGAAGTTTATAGTTTTTACACAACAAAGGTGTCTCTAAGTTTGTGAGCTATAGACTAACATGGTCAAGATATAACACTGTAAATCAGTTTTCAGTTACATGCTATTAAAAAAACGTATTATGTTCGTTGAAAAAGTACCACTAGTGAAAGAGAACTCACCACCACCACCACCACCACCACCATGAACGTTTTCGTGGCTCTTGTGGTTTACAAGTTGTTTTGTCTACAAACTAATTCACACTCAACAGTTTTCGTCTAGTGCTCTGAATTCTAAAGTGAAGAAATCTATCCAAGTATGTAAAACGGTAGAGACAAAGTCAAAACTAGACCAGGTATTCAGTTAAGTCCATTAAGTCTGAGGTAATGTCAGAGCAATGATCATAAACTTATACTTCCGTAGTTCTGAGTATAGAAGTTAAAATTATGGCATTGCACGTCGAGGTTGCGATAAGCTCGGTATGCATAACACATATCGAAGCCATATAAGTCGATGAAGGTTGATAGCGTCATCAATCGACTTCTCTCTTTTGTCTAGCATCCTTCACTTGATCTCAACATTGATCACACGGTGATCCCACGAAACATCTATGTGAGTTAATCCAGGCATACAGACTTTATGTCACATTTGTTTGATTTTTAGAGACCATTGGAATAATCCTCTAGTTGAGTGTTGGGTCATCCAAAATTTGATAATCCTTGTAGATCTCTAAAAAAAAACACCATACAATTGGTTGACAACGTCCAAGATAGTGAAACAAGGCGATCTAATGGGTTAGAGGTGGGAAGACTGAGATGGTGAGATAACAATGTATACAGTTGATGATCTATTGATGATAATGAAATGAGATTAAAACAGTTTATTGAGTAGATAATTTCAAAAATTTGCTTAGTAAAGGATCAGGTGTACCATACTGTTGTCTATGACATGAGAAAAAGAACGAAATTGTCCTTTGAAAAGATATCCATTTGTTTATCAATACCCTGGAGTACAGTGTGATTCTCATGAAATCTACTTAATCACTAGACGCTTGACCATGAATAGATAGTTTGAAACAAAGAAATATCTATTCAGTGAATATGGATAAGTGTTAGTTTTCCTTGCTTCTTATGCACTGAATCAAGTGAACTTATGGCTCATTAGTCTACGTTCTCCGACTTTTAACCAGGAGTAACTTTAAACGTTATTCTAACAACTGGTGAAATAATCAATCAGGTTTCGGTATTTCTGCTAGGAAGTTTGTAAAATAAAGAACAGTAATGGTTTTTTGCAAAGATTGTTAGCGTGGCATTTAAAAAGTCATCGTTTAACCAGCTGGTCACTATATCCACCTAAGTTTCAACACTTTAGATATGGCTCACTGCCAACTGCACGAACGTGCAAACGGGTTGCTGAGACTAGTATTTCAATCCTGATTTCGCGTTTTATTTTCTGGATTATTCCCCCATATTTAGTAATGAATTACACAGTAGTCTATCTGCAGTGGATTATATTGATAGGTACTGGGAGTCAATTAGTTGGAAGCCCTGCTTCACACAGTTTTCGCGATTGTCAGTTAAATGAGCTCACAAAGTAGAGTACCTAAAGGCTATATCAAAGACTATCAAGACTGAGGTCGCATTTTGGTCCGGCTACCCCCGATGCTTTTCATAACTGAATCCTACTTAGGCTAACACTGCACGTTGAGAGAGATAATGGCTTGGTATATACCACACATTCAAGCCTAGCATCCTCTGCTTAACTTCCATACTGCTCATATGGTGACTCCACCATACATGAGACCACTGGTACGTGGGCGTCTGTGATAAAAAAAAAAAACACGTAATCATCATCATCACGTTTGACCAGTGTAAAACATCACACACTAAACATATTTAGATTTCCGACTGGTGTTCAGAACCAAGGTAAAATCGAAGTTTCCTGTATTACTTAGCAAGAAAATCTGAAGAAGAAGAACCTTTCGAAAAGTATTGACTATTAGTATTGATCGACTAGTTCATATAGCTGGCCTCAAAGTACATCAATACTAATGTGTTAATGTTTACTTACACATATCTTTATGTCAAACCACTTGGTTATATCTTCATACAAATCCTTAGTAGAAGTTTTACACAAAAAGTTGATGTTTAAGATCGTATCAGAATTAGAAATAGGAGCTGTAGATGTTCTATTAACTGGGTCAATAGATTGAACTGTGAACTATTATGTCAATAAGCTTGAAGAGGTCAACTAGTTTGAACTGTCTGCTTGTTGAAATCCAGAAGAAAAAACAAACAACAGTCAACCAACTAAGAGAATATGACAACATGTCAAAATGCAAAATTATGACTCAGTCGACTATCTAACTACCGTATTTACGTCTGCATCACATTACAGTTTCATAATTAATAAGCTTAATCTGTCCATGTACCCATTTCTCTCTGTCTGGTTGATTTGTTATTAGGGCTTCGAAAAGCATTAAAAAAGTGACAGGAAATGATACCTAGAAGCGGGGGGGGGGGGTAATCAAAGACATGGTTTGTCAAAATTATATGGCTATGTCGTAGTACAACTAATACTTGTGTATATGCACGTCACAGTCAATCATGCTGCATACATATATTGGCCATATAATAATAATAATAATAATACGAGTACTCCTACTACCAATAATATAATATTGCCTGCTACTACTGCTAAATGGTGGAACAAGTTTTGTATCATTCTGACAGAACAGTAGTGTATCAATTAGTTTAGTTTGTCTCATAACCCAATGACGACGATGACGACGACCACCATCACCAAAAAAAACAACACCTCAACTTGTCAAAAACATTGTTACGGAAAAAGGAAGGGATAATCACAAGTTGGACGAGAAAGTTAAGTAGAATTATTTTGTATTGCTTACTAACTATTTTTCCAGGTATACACACACACACACACACACACACATCCATGGTTACAAAAATCAACGACCCCGATTGAATGAATGGGATGTATGCTAAGTGTTGAGCCAGTAGCCCACAAATAGCTACATCTCCTGATCTGAAGGCGAAATTCATCTCTATCAACCAAGAAATGTTGCAGCAGTAGATGTGATTTGGACATCACAGGGATTGGATATACTCCTCAAAAGGTCGACTAGCTGACTAAACGCAGACTCTTCTGAGTGCCTTGATCAGATATATGATTTTATTTCGTAAACACTTTGCACCTGTTGAATGCAAAATTATGCGTTTCAGGAATTGTCTGTAACTTCTTCCCGTTTAAGGATAGAAAAAGAAGTGGAAGAATGTGTCAATCACTTCATTAACTTCAGAATTTGTAATAGCTAAAATAGGACGGCTGCTGACGAAATCTCAGCTCAGATCCAAAGGGTTTATTTGACATTTACCAACTTACAGCATCTGCAACTACCCACTCAAATACAAGTATGCTAAGCTGCTGACTTGTCTGTCGAATTACGAAGTTGTCAAACATGGTCATCAAAGGTAGATATGAAGAGATTACAGATGTTTGGCGGCATGCCACTCCATGTCATTCCTTGCATGCCATCAAACCACTACGTAACGTCAAAGATAGGTGAAGCCTTGTAAGCAAGATACGAAAGTCAGTCGATGAGGCTGTGAACCTTAAACAAATGAAGCGGTTGGAACATGCGCTGCACATGCCAAGTCATCGTCCAACTCGACCGGCAACGTTAACAGAAGTTATAGTACTAATTTCGCGGGTAGTGGCAATCAGACGAATAATCCACTGAAAGAAGGTTCACGATGGTCACATAAACATGAAGCATCAGTCCATCAAGTTTCTGACAGCTTCTGTAATACAAGGATGACGTCTTCTAATTCTTTGTGACTTTGTACGCAATGACTTCTGATGACGTGCGATAAAACTACCGACCGCACAATCTCCCTCCCATAGTACTTATTATTATTACTTGTCCACTGGGTAATCAGTGGAATATAAGCCTTCAGTACCACGTCTACATCCCACTCTCCCCTCACTGCACGACTGCCCACAACCTTTCATTTCTTTCCCACACCATCTCCTCCATGTCACCCTCACCTGCAACACCCAACTTGTCATTTCCCCCCTTTGCCCTCCACTCCACGGCCTCACCTGGTACGTCATCTCCCCAATCGCCCTTATCACTCTATGACCAATACAATACAATCCATCTACACCCTCTTCCACTGCAAATTTATTGCGTGATAGCTTCTTCCTTGATTCGTTGAAGCCAGCCAACCAGCCACACTTCCTTCTTGCTTATTCTCATTACTCTCACCATCTCATCTCATCTTCAGTATCGAGTCACTGTAGGCACTTCTTCATGACGCATGTCTGTAGTCTCTTCTAAATGCTTTTCGTCACACACCAACTTTCTCAACAATCACATACAAGCAAGCACTGACTTCACTCAATTCCTGTTCAAAATCCCCATCGCATCTTCACCACGCGCCATGCTCACTGCAGTACAGTGCAGTGCAGTAGATCTACACACTGATCTCAAATTAACATCAAAGCCTGTCTTGCTGTCTTCCCCATCCTCATCTGTGCCGACTGTGCCGCCTGTGCTTGAAACCATCCTGCTTATGTGGGTAGGTAGGTGGGTAGGTGAAAGAGACTACTTCCTTCAGGTTTCTCCCGTTAATCCTGATTGCTGCCTCTTCTTTTTCATGCTCTTGTTGCTTGGGTATCTTCATCACCTATGTCTCTGTCTTCTCTACATTCACTTGAAGGAA